AAGGCCATGCAGATGAACTATGATACACTAGGGACTAGAATATGCCCTTTAATTCATGAGAAAGTATGGGTGGGTGTCGCTCCGATTGGGAACGGCTTGAAGGAACGACAAAGGACTCTCAAGGGAGTCCCGACAGGAGAATTCCTAGTTTATTGCTTCAGCTCTGTCTTATAGACAGATACGTGGAAAAGTACAGAAAGGAAACTCTTATTGGTTAACAAAGTACTACATCACTATCATTGGTCAGGGGCACTCTGCCCCCCTGACTCTCTCTTGCAAGGAGAAACAGCAGGTTGCAAAACAACACCTGCAAGGCTGTTTAGTATCTCTGAGAATTGTTTTAATTCCTTCTCATGAATTTCCCAGGCTAGGCTTCAGTCAGGCCTGAGAGCTATGTGGCCTGCAATAACTACAGGCACTCTGGCTCAGACTTAGCATCCATAGGTGGGTGGAGTGTTCGAACTGTAGACATGAGCAGAGGCATCCATAATGAAGCAAAACAGATGTGGAAGTAGCTGTGATCCCATGAGAGGCTTGAATAGAGAGAGAGTGATGTAGAGATGGTGATCTCCCTTTGCTCCCAGGGAGAGAAGACCTATGTCCCCAGAGATGAAGTTGATCACAGAGATAGATGAAGAGAACCTTTGCTTTTGAACAGCTCATCCTTAAAATAATACTGCATAAGCTGATATGGCCCATTAACTCAGCTGTGGAAAGGCTGTGGAAATGAGACGAACTTCATGATTGCAGATTTTCCAGGCAGCTGCTATTCGTGGAAATTAAAAGCCATGAGAGAACTGTTTCTTCTGGAGAAGTCCCCATGGCATGGTGAGAGAAAATTCATCTCCCTACAAGAAATGATGAAAGACTATTGTAGAGGTGGTAACTGATTGAAAAACCCCAGATTTCATCTCTATGTTGTCAGCTGGGAAAGAAGCCAGGCAGGGAGAGGAAAAGTGTTCTGAAGGTTTTATTCTGAATTTTCTTATTCTTTTAGTTCTGTTAATAAAGTTTTCTTTATATATTTTAAGTTTTGAGCCTGCTTTGCCTTCCTCCTAATTCATATCTCACAGCAGGAAATTAATAAATAATTCTAATAGGTGCACTGGCAATTTTAGCCAGGGCTAAACTCACTACATTATTTGTTGTGTTGGCCAGGAAACTCAAATTGGTGAACCTAAACCACTACAGTGGCTTACTTTCAGGTTGAGAGTACAACCATTCAGGTTGACAAATGTGAGAGAGAATGCCATACAGGACTTTGACAGACTTGAGAAACAGGCCTACAAAAACATCATATGTTGTAGTGCATTTTTATTTTACAGTCGTTGAATGATTTAATGTCAATGGTCTGTTCTGGTCCCACCTGCCCCCGTCCCTGCATTTTACATTCTTCCAAGTTGGATTATTATATTCCTCCCCTTTGCCCTTCAATCACTGCAATCCCCACCCTGTATTCCAGTCCTTCCTTATCCCTCATTATAAACTCTGCCCCTAGTTCTGGTTCTATCCCTGTCAGTCCCCCGTAAATCCCTCCCCTGCCCTACTGGAATTCCCCTAAAGTATGACTGACTCCCTGTTGGTACACGTGACCTGCCCTCTCCACCCCCTTTATCCTTATTGGTCACTGTATTATATTCCCCTCCTCTCACTCCTCCCTCCTGGATTTCCTATTGGTCCAGAGAGTGTACCCATCCTCTGTTCTAGTGCTGTATAAAATCCGAAGAACTCTGGTGCCTGGGGCTCTTTGGTCCCTGTTCCCTTTGGCAAATAGGCCTTCCTCAGAATTTCACACTAAAGGCCTCCCTCTCCTTTTTTGTCTGCTCCCTGATGCTGACAGCCATTCTAGCTGTAGACCAGGTGCCTCTAAGGTTCAGCTCTCCCCATTGCAGTGGGAAGCTGCTCCCCACTCATGGCACCACATTGCCTCTGAGCTAGCCGTAGACTCCAGTGTGGTGTCAGTGATACTCAACAAGTTCAAACGCAAGGTCATGTATCTGGGTTGGGGCAGCCTCCAGTACCAACACAGGCTGGGTTGGATGAAGGGAGTGAGAGCAGCCCTGCTGAGAAGGACTCACAAATGCTGGTAGATGAGAAGCTGGACGTGACCCAGCTGTTGTGGTTTTAAAGCAGTAACTAAAAAATTACTAGAAGACTTACTTATTTTTTTCCTTTCTTTACGCAGCAGTCTCTGGTGAATTCAGTCACGGCAAAACCTGCAGCCGAGCCAGGGACCGGCCTGGCCCGGCCAGAGCCCGGGGCAAGCCCCGCAGGCCCCATCTCCCGGCCAGGAGCCGCTGGGCCCAGCCCAGCCCCCACCCAGGCCGCATGGCCTGGGAAGGGAACAGGAGGCCAGCTGGACCTCTATTACCTTTCACAGCCAGGAAACAAAGAGACAAAGAAATTCCCAGGCTTAGGTCTTAAGGTGGTGTTCACAGGTTGATCTCACTTTTCAATGGTCAAAACTGCTGTCAATTCTTAGAAATTACCGATAATTGGTCAGGAGAAAAGACTCCCATCAGTCACCAGCAGCTTCAACTTCCTTAGCTCTCAAAACTATCTTAAAGGTAAAGTCACCCCATGACACCAGCCATGGGCACTCCCAGCCCAGAAAGCCAAACATGTCCTGGGCTACATCCTAAGAAATGTGGACAGCAGGGCCAGGGAGGGGATTCTGCCCCTCTGCTCTGCTCTGGTGAGGCCTCACCAGCTGTGCTGCATCCAGCTCTGGGGTCCCAACACAGGAAAGACATGGTACTATTCGAGCAAGTCCCAGAGGAAGCCATCAAGATGACCAGTGGGCTGGAGCATTTCTCTCATGAAAGTGGGCTGAGAGAGTTAGTGTTGTTCAGCCTGGAGAAGAGAAGGCTCCAGGGAGATCACTGGGGTCTTAAATACTTAAAGGGGGCCTATAAGAAAAATGGGCACAAACTTTATAGCACAGCCTGTAGCAATAGGAGAAGAGGTAATGGTTTAAAGGAGGGTAGATTCAGACTGAAAATAAGGAAGAAATTTTTCATTATGAGGATGCTGAGACACTGGAACAGGTTGCTCAGAGAAGCTGTACATGCCCCATCCTTGGAAGTGTTCAACACCATGCTGGATGAGGCCCTGAGCAACCTGGTCTGGTGGAAGGTGTCCCTGCCCATTACAAAGGGAGGAGCTGGATTAGAATGACCTTCAAATGTTCCTTCCAACTAAACCATTCTATGGTTTTCTGAATCTGCAAAAACATATAAGAATACGTATAGTGTAATTTCAACTGACAGTATTTACTTACATATTTGCAACACCTAGTCACTTTTCATATGAATCATCTTGATTTTGATTATTGTTTATTTTCTCATGTTTAAGCAATATACTGAAAATTAAGCAATATAGTGACAATTTGATTATGAATGACATTCTAGCTCCTTTGCTTGTACTTTCTGGATCTTATGATGTTTAGAAGAAAAACAAATTCTGTCCCGTGGTACACACAGTTTCACCTTTTAAATACTTTTCTCTCTGACATTTAATTAATAATCAGATCACTGTATAAGAAAAGACACACGCTTAAAAACGAATACATTTTCAGCTGATCAAATTTCATATATTATGCAAATAAAACCCTGTAAAATTTGGCATGCATGTGTTCCTTAATTGATGACTAATTGCTTCAGCCTTCATAAGTAAATATTTTTGTAATTAAGATATAATTACTGGGAATGATTTTCCTATTTATCTCTTTCATATTTTTAAGCAATTATTGAAAACCTTGTTTGAGAAGTATCAACTTTATTCCCAGTTTTTAATGGGGTCAAGCAGGTAGAGGGGTTTTAATAATTTTCAGACGTCAGCATATATACTAACACAATTGCAAACCCAGAACATTTACTCCTAAGTTAACATTCACAAAAGAAGCAATTGTCTTTAATTAGACAATAAAATGAGGTTAGCATTTCAGTTTGGAAGGATAGCAAAGGATGATATTCTACAGTTAAGGCTGGATCTGCTATGGGTGAAATGCTAGATCAGACTGGAAGATGGCTCTTCTGGGCTAGCGTTTCAGGGAGAATTAGCCAGCACTGTTGAGCTAGTGAAAGACCTAGAAATAGACTGCTGTAACCCATACTAATAAATTATGGAGACACGTCATTGCAGCTAGGTTTAGACCTGAACCTAGGGTCCCGATATGCTGTTTCTAGTCTTTGCATTTGCAGATTTTGATGTACTAGGATTATAGTTATATTAATCTGGGAACAAGTTTTAGGAATGATGAACTGGTCTTAGTGCTGTTTTCCTGGGAGCTGTTGTAACAATTAGGGTTAATACTGTTGCTGATGAGACACTGTTGACTTACAGTCATACCTGGTTCCACAAGAAATTTCTGTGTTTAACGTTAAACATGATGCCATCATATTGAGTTTGGAGAAGAACTGGAACTTGAAATTACTTCAGTTGATGAGGTAAGGTTACAGAATTGTTTAGGCTGGAAAAGACCTCTGAATTATAGAGTCTGACTGTTAACCTAGCACTGCCTTGTTCACCACTAAACCATGTCCCTAATTGTCACATCCTTAAATTCCCTAATATCAAATCTAAACCTCCCTTGGTGTGAGCTGAGGCTATTTTCTTTTATCCTGTCACCTATTACCTGGGAGAAGAAAGTGATCTCCACCTGGCTACAACCTCATTTGCTAAATATGAGAACATTTGAGGCTCATTTGTTTTAACAAAAAATATCTCCTCTTGTTTTCTCTCAGATTCCAAGGGGTTTTCCCAAACCAGCAAGTCCCACCGTATCTTTTCTCTTTTAATTATGGTAGCACCCATCTTACTGTTCTTCATATTAATGAAATTTGAGAATCATTTAGCACTGATACTAGCCATCATCAAACAGCAGAGATACGTGAAGAAACAATGTGAACTTCTGAATCAGTTCTGGAAGGGACTTATTAGAATGCTGTAGTCTCCTTACTTCTTTCTACCTTTTTCACAGAAAAAATGGTACACAAATATTAGAAACAGATTGTAGAAAATAAATTTAAGGCTGAATTTTTCCCTGAGCTTCAAGTACACCACTCCATGAACATGTACAATGCAAACTGGCAGTGTATGCTTCAGGTTGTATGGTCCTCAGCACAGGGACTCTTCTGACTGTAAATACAAAGAACTTTTATTAGTTATAAACAAAGTAAAACACCCACTGCTCTGTTGTTACCTTTAACTCTTAGGCTGCTTAGTGTAAAATTCTCATTCCAGCTGTCAAGAGCCCACACTTGTCTTAACAACTTACGCCTCAACCCTTCTGGCAGAAAAAACATTGCTATAGATATAATTTTTAATGAGGCAGAGTTGTTAGCAGTTCTGTTTCCATGATAATCAAATAGAAATATTTAATTTATGAACTTTTATTGTCACAACTTTTCTGTCTTTCATAACTCACCTGACACGATGGAAAGCACAGTTAACTCTACATATAGGGTAACATGCTCATGCACTCTGCATTATCTGTAACAATTATACTTCATTTGCTGTTGTTCTTATCATCAAGTTTAAATCTGGTTAATGAAGTCACCCATCCTGCTTTTCTCTCTCTGCCTTCCATGCTGAAATAGTCACATTGACTTCATGGGAGTTAAGTGACACACATCTGCCAAGCTCAGAAGAAGGACAATTTCCATTTCAGTCTTCTTTCCCTCTTTCCCAGAAGACATACCAACATATCTAATAATAGTGAAACATCCACACAGGTTATTACATTGCCTTCAAGTCATTACAAGACTGTCGAGAAAAATAAGCCCTTAAAAAAAATTTCTTTTCTTTTCCTTCTTGGCTTACTGCTCCCCTTGCACAGCTCCTTCTTAAAACTGTGGCTTATATTTCTCTCTTTCTATTTTCTTTGCTTGGTATGATGCTTCCATTCTTCCACCTCCTCCTTATACGTCCTGCACATTTGTCTCTTGGTCATGTTAATTGCTTGCTTCTTCTGCTATCACCATTACTTTATCCACATTAAGGTCATTACAGAGGTCTCCTACTGGCAAAAATTAAATTTGCAAAACAATCTACAGTGTTTTTAAGAATTCAGGCAGCAGTTCAAATACCAGTACAAACATAATCTCAAGTGACCAATTATCTTTATTTTCATTCTGAAGCAACCTACCCATAGAAGACTGTGAAAATTCCTACATTTGCAAAGGTCCCATTCTAACAGTTCACACTTTTCATCCATAATTTTAAACTGTCAACTATTTTATCTCAAAAACCAAAAACATTGCATCGTGGTTTTCTTTTGACCACCCCATCATAAAAAAACTCAACTTTAAAACAAAATCATGCTTATCATTGTGTCATTCTCAATTTACTTAAGCTTCATTTTATTTCTTACTCTTGTTCTATAGTTTTTTTCTAAGAAAAGTAGATTTGTCTCATCTCACAAAATACTGTGTAAAATTTTTCCTTTCCATGCAACTCTATATTTTTTTGTCATTAATCTCTTGAGTTTGCCTCCATGTATATCTTTGCATTTTGTTCACTTCACCCATGTTTTACTTTTTTTTTCTTGACTCCTGTTCCTTGCTGTAGTAATTATAATAATTTTTGGGCTGTCATCCCCACCCCTCATACAGACTGTGCTATTCACTCAGTTTGTCCTTTAGCATTATCTAATTTTCTCATCAGCACCACCCAAGTGAGCATTATTGCTTTCTAAATAATTTGCTCTTTTTTTCCTCCTGTAGCCCTTTGGGTTATATTCTGAAAAGTGTGAAATGGGATATGTTGATGCCACCTATTGCATAGGAAAACTAGTAAGTATGAAGTGGAAGGGAGGAACTGAAACATGTGAGCATTAGTTTCCTTCTTTCCACCCCATATAACGTTGGGCAGGGATGGATAAAGAGGGTATATATCAAAATAAAAAGCATATGAGAGGTGGTGAGGATTTTAGTCCTATTTTGTGGGACAGACTCGGATCAGACTCACTCCCAGCCAGTAAAACAGTCACCTTTCAATCAAGCAATGGAAGCAGAGGGTATGGCAGTCTTTTAGATGTGTCTCTTTTAATTCTTCAGATTTGTTGAACTGCAAATGATCTTTGATTCTTACCAAGAGAATCTTGAAGGAAGTTTTTGGAAATTATGGTGCTGACTTACAACTCTAATGGAGGGGATATGTAAGCTATATTGAATGCCTTTTTACTGTGGAAGAAAGAAGAATGGTATTAGAAAAGGCAAAGTAAGAGCAATTAGGCAGGGGTCTGGAAGAAGTTTCTGCCCTGCCTTTGCCCTAAATCCTTGCATTATTTATAGGCAGGAAGCGTTAATTAGAAGATGTAATTGTTGTGATACTGGAGAATTTCGTGACAAGGAGTAAAGATGACCAGGGGAAAATATCAAGGCATCTCCAGCAGACATCCTAGTTCCAGTACTGCTAAGCAAAGTTAAAATACCAGTTGATTCAACAATGGAAAGAAGAGCTTTGTGGCCATTCCTACAATTCATAAAGTGTACAATTGGAAAAATTAAACTGATTAATTAGTTTCTATATGTGCCAGAATATCCTCTTCACTTGTTCGGATGAGATTTATTAATGCAAGTTAAATGCTCAAATAACTTCTATTTTTTAAAATTCTGTATAGCTATACCATCCACAAGAAAAGTCAGGGAAGGCTGGAACCTGTTTACAAATGACTCAGACCTCAGAAAAACCTATGACATCCAGGAGGCAATATATAATTGTATGTAATTATGTGATTATGTTATAAAAAATGGAATCCCTCTTGTATGAGATTCAAAAAAAACACCTAAAGCAAACACTAGGACTCCACTTAAAAGTAGAACTCAAACCAGGAGCAGACTTAGTGATGATAAAACAATGACTGATCATAACTGGAAGTATATTAAGGTTTTGAGCCCTTTACAGAATCAGAGAATGGGTCAGGTTGGAAGGGAGCACAGTGAGACATCTGATCCAACCTCCCTGCTCAAGTAGACTGTCCTAGAGCGCATGGCACAGGAGTGTGTCCAGATGGTTCTTGAATATTGCCAGTGAGGGAGACTCCAAAACTTCTCTTGGCAGGCTTCTCTAGTGAGTGGTCAATCACACAGTATAGAAGATCTTCCTCATATTCAGATGGAACTTTCTGTGCACCATTTCCTGCACATCATGTCCTATTCCTTGGCATCACTAAGAGCCTAGCTCCATGTTCTTGGCACCTCCCCTTCAAGATACTTACAGACATTGATGACGTCTCCTCTCTGTTGTCTCTTTTCCAAGCTAAATGTACTGAGCTCTTTCAACTTTTCATCATAAAAAAGTTGTTTCCGTCTCTTATTCATCTTAGTCATCCTCCACTGAACTTGCTCCAGGAGCCCCATGTCTTTCCTGTACTGAGGAACTCAGAACTGGACACAGCACTCCAGATGCAGCTTTATCAAGGCTTAGTAGAGGAGCAGGATCACCTCCCTCAAGCTGCTTGCAATGCTCTTCCTAATGCACCCCAGAACAGCATTGGCCTTCTTGGCCACAAGGCCCCACTGTTGGCTCATGAACAGTTTCTTGTTGACAGGTGAAAAATCATTTGCATCTAGTGGGTTAATACAATGCTTATTTTTCACAAGACACTGGCTCAAAATTCTTGCTCATTTGGAAGCAATTGGTTGAGTATTGCAGTAACTGGTGGTTGAAGTATACTTTGGCAGTTTGTAAAGAAAGGTAACATTGGAAAAGGGAGTGCTTCCAGGCCAGGGGAAATCAGCCAGGAAACCTCAACCTAGTTCTTCAAATGACCAAGCTTATGACCATAAATGAAGAATTCCCCTGAAGGGCACCAGGGGAATCATCCTCAGCTGAAGCCCTAGTTACCTCATTCCTGGGGAATCAACAGGTAATTTTAAAAAAATTATATAGGAGCACCTCATTCAGCACTGAATAAATGCAGAGGAAAACTTAGCTTGGAACCAGTAAGTGGGTATGAGACAGAGGAAAGAGAAGAGGCCTTTTTTTCTACAACTGTTACCATTTAAATTAAGAAAACAGTGGGGGACACATCAATTTTTGTGTAAGCCTGAATGCCCAATTCCCTTGTTGAGGTGAGATTTATTGAGAAAATTGAATAATCAAATAACTTTCCTGAATGGAGTAATACAAATTCAAATACCTGAATGAAAAGCCATTGAGACAAAGATTTTTATGTTACAGGAATCCAATGAGATAGAAGAAACACCAGAAGAGGTAGAGAACGCTGAAACCTCATTGGTATGGGCTACTGATCAAAGCTGGAGAGTTGTCTGATTTTGAGTGGGAGAATCTAAACCCTGGGTGGAAGGTTCAGCTAACATGGACTCAGGTATCTCAGGACTTCAAAACAGCACCACTATGGCTGGCAATCAGCTGGTAAAAGAAAGTGGAAAGCTGGAAAAAGAAAATCTGAGCAGAATTTTACTACAATGTATTAATGATATTCTGCCAGCAACCAAGACTGAAGGAAGTGCCTGGGTGCTACTATAAGTCTGTTAAATTTCTTACACAATCTGGATACAGGATATCAAAGAAAATGGCACAAAGAGGAAAAAAAAAACCCCAAAGAAGTAATACAACTTGGTTTTGTTATGTTGCAAGGCAAAAGCAGCTAAAAACCTTGGGAAGCAACTAAAAGGAAGCCATTTGTCAAACTCTGGAGCCAAGAACTGTACAAGATCTATAAGCCTTCTTAGCAGGATGCTAAAATACCAAATTGCCTTACTGGAGCAGGACAATGTTGATCCTATGACTGGACCTCAATAGTGATCCTATCTAGGACCCAGAACTGGAGCTATATGCTGGTGGGAGCAGCATGGTATTAAATGGAAGATAGGCAGCTCGGTGTGCAATGGTAACCTTGACCCAGGTAATAGAAGTCCAGGCTTTACATAAATACATATTAGCACAAAAAGCAGAATTAATGGCTTTACACTTAGCGCTGGCTAAGGGTAAACATATGGACCGATTTAAAATATGCTTTTGGAATAATACATGCCCATAGAGCATATGAAAGGAAAGAAGATTGTTACAGGCACAAGGTTCTCCAACAAAGTATAAAAAATAAATTAGTTAACTACTACATAGTGTAAAAAAGCGAAAAGAATGTTGCAATGCACTCCTGAAGCCCATCAAGCAGTTTGGAAACTCCTCAGTTAATACAGGGAATCAACGAGCTGATAAAACAGCCAAAGAGATAGACGAAAAATACCTAGCAAAAAGTTGAAAGTCCTAGAACAAAAACCAAATGATAGTAATCAGGATGGGCAGTTAGCCCTATCCTTAACAGTTATGGAAAATCCCAGCAATTGATTGTTAACCTCATGTGGGCAGGTAATTGTACCTTCAGAATTAAAGTATAAGATAATGGAACTAAAACATCAGGAAACAGTTAGGGAAATGGAGAAATAGAGAAATAGGAAGGAAAAGTGGAATTGCACTCAAATATTTGCTTGCATCAGGAAGAATCCTGAGGTACAGCAGCTCATATTGTTATAAATAAAGTTGGTTTCATAGGTGGGCTTATGAAATGTTAATAATGTAATTTTGTTGTGAATTATTAAATAATGTAATGAATTGTTATGCCTAATTTATGTAATAAGTTATGAAATAATAAGTTATGAAGTTAAATGTACTGTAGTATGGGTGTGTTCCCACTAGAGGGGGGTGGTGAGAACTCAGTGAGCTTAATAGAGGGAACTTTCCAGAATGTTACCTCATGGGGTGATGACAGCATTCTAGACTGTAACAGGAGAATGAGCCAGCCAGGGAAATCAAGGCATTCCAGAATGATTGGTCAGGAATGCACCACAAAATGGACCAACCAGCGACTGGAAAAAAAGGACCAATCAATGAAAGGATCAAAAGCACACCAGCCACCTCAAGAGACTTTAAAAACCTCTGGGGTGCCCTGCACCTGGGTCTTTCTGCAGAAACAGTGTCCCAGGAGACACCCTGTGTGGTACACAGTCTGCTACTTGTATCTGACTTGCTGCATATGCTCCAGCTTACCGTGGTCTCATTAGTTGTCCTGATTTTTTTTTTAATAAACAGGCCTGAGATTTTTCTTTAAAAAGTCCTGGCCTCGTTTTGTCTGTTCATAACAATGTCTGTGGCCCAGGTTCTGACTTCTTGGTGGGCCTTGCTTTTGCAAAGTATAACTGTGATCATATTAATAATTGTGATAATGGCACCTGCTTTAAGCTGCTGAAAAAACATGATTTCTCATGCAACACAAGGAACTTATATGATGTTAGTAAAAAAGCAAGGTGAGGCTTATGAAGGCTCAAAAGAAAGACAAGCTTCACAAGCCTGAAAGAGTGGGAAAGTTGTCTGATGAAAAATCATTTATACATTGCTTATTCTTCAAAAACCACTGGCCTATGGAACCACACAATACTTACTCTGTAGGAGGAAGAACTGGAAAGCTACAAGCCTGGTTGTGCCTACTTTTTTTGACCAGATGGTCAGGTATGACTTTGGGGTCAGTGACCACCAGGGACCACCAGGACAGAAGAACACAAGTGTAAAGGAGAGAGAACACATAATAATGATTTTAGGGAAATGATTATCATATGCATGTTTATTCAAAATCAAAAAATGTTATGCAAAATATTATGGAGCCTTTTCAGTACTCAGCTTGCACAATATTTCAGAGGACACAACCCTTTGTGCATCTGGCTGAATATAGAATGCCTGTTTCTTAATGCTATGATGATGTTAAGTAGTTTTTATTTTTACCAATTTTTGGTAAAAAATTGCTTAGCAAAATTTCCCAGCTCCTTCTCAGAGATAATTTCCAGAAGGTCAAAAAGCATTCCAAATAAAGGATAGATAAAACAATCATGTTGATTATTTGTCATTTTACTAGTAGTACTTATAGTTTATTGTGTTTTAAGTGTATGCATATACATATGGAAGCATATAAAAATGTACTTTCTAGAACATACCAAATAATGATGATGACTAGTATAAATGCAAAACGATTATCAAATTTCATTAAAATGAAGAAGAGTAAGAGGGATGCTACTGTAATTACAAGAGAAAAGATACAGTGGGACTTCTAGCATGGGAAAATCCCTTGGAATTTGAGAGAAAACAAGAGATGTTTTTTGTTTAAACAAATGAGGCTCAAATGGTCTCATATTCAGACAGAGAAATTTAAGTCTCAAAGGGAAGAATCATGAATGATGAGTGATTTAGGGAATAATTGAATACAACAAATACCAGAAAGAAAAGTGGGAAACTGTCAGGCAGTAATCATAAATTTCATCTGAGTTAGCAAAATCAGATAAACGGATGTCCTTTAGATTTACTTCGTTCATTATTGCATGAAAACCACATCTCTAAAGCTTAAGCTACCTACCTCCAGCTGAAGTCCCTCACACACTGAACATGAGCAACAAATTTAAAATACATCCTACCTTTACATCAAAAAGGGCAGAAGATTGTAGAATCATAAAATGGAGGTCAGTGAGCTAGGAAGGGATGCAGTGGGAAAGGCTGGTGACATGCATGACCACTTGGTGTTATGATCAGTAATGAGAGCTAGGATAAGAAGGAGAAAGCGCAGGGTATTAGGAGTTAAGGTGCTTGTTTTCCTAAGCAACCTAAATATGACAAAGCTCTAGTTTTGTAGAAATGGATAAATGCACAAGTGCCTGTCAACCTTAAGTACTGACTCATTTTGCTTTGTGTGCATAGATTTTGGTTTTAACTATTAAACGGTTGTTACTAAGATGCCCATTTTGTAATTTTTAACCTTCTTTGTTCTCCACCTTCCTGTGACAGAGTGACCAAAGGAATGTGTGGGGCCCAGCCACCCAAGAGGGCTCCCCCGCAACAGCTATGTAACTCCAGATTTGCCTGGTGGTCATTTGCAGAATTGCCAAATGCAGAAAAATACAGAGCCAAATGCACACCAGATTCTCAGTGTAGACGAAGCTTGCCTTCTCTAGTCTCGGCCCGTATTTCCATCCACCGCTAGGATTAATCTGTATCTTTGGGGTAGGGTTACATGCAGCTGTGTCAAGGTTTTACGTCCTAGGAAGCGCTGGTCCCGGTTGATCCATGCATGATGGGGCGCTGCCCGGCCCGCCAGCCCCGAGGACAGGGCCCTCAGAGCCCTCACTGCCGCGCGTGCCCCGCGGAGACGCCAACTGCCGCTGCCCCGGCGCGCGCCAA